AAGGGTATAATATATAACAAGCGAGTCTTCTACAGCTGGCGCCGCTTCTCGCATCCTAATTTCTAGCGTTTTCTGTCGAAGCAATCTTCAGTTGTTAGATCTCTGGCGGTCATTGCATCGTCGACATCGTCTCTCCAGGATCGTCTTGGTCTACCTCGTTTTCTTCTAGTTGGCGGAGTCCATTCTTCTATTGTTTTTTTGGCCATCTGTTTTCCGGCATTCTCTGAATACATGAAGGGTTACCATATTATCATAGCAGGTAGTCTGTAAGTAATGAGTAAATAATTTTAGCAAGTTTACTAAAAGATCATACAAGGCAAGTGTGCTTGTTTTGTTTCCTTTGGTTATACATTAGATTAGAAGCAGGTTCAATTTATTTATTATATATTTTTTAAATTTTTTATTTTTTTTTGTAAATAACTCCTTTAACATTTAGGATCCTCCGAGTTTTCCTTATCTCTCAGTTAATTATCCAAAGGATAAGGCGTCGCCCTTTTCATTTAGTTTGATTTTTTTTAATCTACTTCCTTTTCTGTTAGTATGACCCTTTTTTAATTTACTTTTTTTCTGACTTGGTGTTAAATAAACCGTTTAAATATCCAAAGTCCAAGGGTTATATCTCTTCTAGGGTTATTTTCACGCAACACAAAATGACGCCCAGTACCGTGAATACTGTTTACTAGTACCAGGTATATTGTACATTACACAATATGGCGCCCAACGTCTGGGGCCCTTTTTAATCATTCCAAGATTATTTTACTATTTATTATTTTACGTTATTCACGTTATCCATGTTTGTTATTTTTCCTAATTATTATTAATAATAATATTAATAATAATTATTTTATTTCAATTTCTTTGATTTTATTTATTAATTGACTTGTCTCTTACATTTTACTATTTTTATTTTAAAAATAGTTGCGCTCAACCCTTCGATCAACTTTCTACTTAGTAAATATTGTGTCATCTAAATTCCAATTTTTGTTTTCACTAAATATTCTAATTTCTGTATTTAGACCCAATTACGTTCTATGAGATAATATAAAATATATTTCTATGTGACACTTCGGTCGAAAGTATATGTATCAGTTTTCAACTCTTTGACTTCTGTTATGTCAGCTGTACTTAAAAATAGAAAGGGAATAATGTTTTGCAAATATCCTTCATCAATAAAAAACATGCTTTTCTTAAAAATGCATTTATACGGTTACCCAGTAAATACCTAGTGTCTTTTTATACATATCTAACCTCCAACCCATTTGCTTCTTTATAAACCATGTGCAGTTATTAATGATAATTATGTTCATTTTATCTTTTCCAATTTGCTATTTTATTTTTAATATTGTAATAATTTTCAATTTTCATAAACATATATACAGTTGCTTACACAAGGTTTATTATTCTAGTTTTTTTGCTTCAATTAAATTTTTGCCTACCTTTTTTGATGAAGAATTACTGAACCAAATGGTCGGCCATTGGGAATAATACACTGCACTGCAGTAGATGGCTGTTGCTATGGGGAACTCAACATATCCCTAGAGTTTATTACTAATATGAACAACTGAAACTAGCAAACAACAAATATATTCTGCAATTCTGTTTAATAACTACTTGAAGACAACATGGGAAGCCATAAGTATCTTTTATGTTTTGTTAAGCTATAGGCAAGATTTGCTGTTTGATTTTAATTTAATAATACAATTGGAATTTTATATTTATTTATGTACAATAAATATGATTGGTTAATATTTTGGTTTATTTGTCCCTGCCAACGTCATTTTTCAGATTTACTTCTAAAGGCGCGTACAGACTAGCACTCGCATGCGGTGAGAAGCCACACATATGCGTGCGTACTCAAACCATTCGCGCTCAGAGCATTCGTTGAAATTAGAAATCACCGCATATGTATGCGTGCTCAAGGCGCTCCATCCATTCGTGAAAAAATGTCTGAGGAGCTTCATATGGCAAATGAAGTCCGATTTACCAGTAGATTTGGCGTTAGAAACTAATACTGGATAATTTTAAAATTTTACATGTATGTCAGTAGAATACTTATAATGAACGCCTTTTAAATTATATAGGCCCCGTAATAAAGAAAAACGACACAGTCTTAAGAAAAGCCATATCTGTAAAGGTTTGTGGCCACAAGGAATACCCTGTATTTTTTTGTCCCAAGAAATTAGTTTCTTTATTACCGCTTTAATGATGTACCACATTTGTATATTTATAAACTTGTATTTTTATTTTCAACCTGCATCTCAAAAACCTTGGTACCCCATTTTTGTTTGCAGCGAAAAAGTAGCACACGTTCGTTAAAAACGCAATCCTTTGTCTTTCATAACAACCAAAATACCCTATAAAAGTGTACGAATTGGGACACCCTGTACTTACTGTAAAAACACAATAACTTTTCTTGTACCCACGGACTTCTTGCATTTGCTCCTTTGAGTCCTAAAAGACCCAAGTAAGCTGCTCATTTTCTTCTTCGCAACTGCTGAATCTATATCAAGATTTATTGAAATCGACTCCCATGCATTGTCTTTTTTTTGTTTTTGAATAATAAAACTTATTTTTTGGATCCCATAATAGGCTTTTCTTCATACAAATCTATTAATTGCAAACATTGTTCATTTGACCACTCCAGTTTACACATAAATCAATAAAATGAATAAAACTCAATAAATCCGAACTTGTCTTGCAAATGCAACAAATTCACACGCTATCCGTCTAAACTGAGCACGAACGCACACGTATGTTTCTTTGATGTGTGCGAAAAAACCGACACCACTCTGGCTCGCAGCATATGTGCTCAAGTCATTCGCGAGAAGCTACGCATGCGGCGAGAGGTTTCGAAAGCGCCGTCCACATTTGCACACGTATGTGTATCCGTGGCTGCTCACCGCATGCGTTTGTTGGTCTGTACGCGCCTTTACGTAGGGTCAGTGCACCAGTGCCGGATTTAGTTCATGGACCGCCGGGGGCTAAGTCATACTATACCACCACTCTCCAGTAGGTATAGATGCGCCTTAGGTTAACAATTCATTAAAACTATTTTATTATTAGGTAATTTATTTCAAATATACAAAAAAGCCACAAAGACGCAAATGCACAACTTATAAAGTAAAATAACATAATTATTTACAAACAAATCTTCCTGGACTTTCTACTTGCAAACAGGTCGATGATTTTATTAAAATTTAATTTTGTAAGCAGATCATTATTAATATTTAAAACAGCAAACGAATTTAATGTTTCTTCCGTCATTGTATTTTCAATAATTTTTGAGCCGTTTTAAAGTGGAAAATGATCTTTCACCAGTTGCGTTAGTAACCATCAACGATACGAAGATTCTTAGTGCTATTTCTACGTTTCGGAAAGTTGCAATTATATTATTTTTATGTAAAAGCTCCATCATAAAAGTAGTGAGCTCCAACGTGTGTTGGATTTTTTTACTCAACTTGGCCTAGTTGTGACATTATAAAATGTTTTAATTGTTTTACTTGCTAGAGATGTATCCAAGTCATTCGAATAAATACTCACTAATACCGACGCATTGTCTGAAATCACGTTATCTTCTGAAAGAGGTAGAAAAAATAAAAATGAGAAAGTGATGGCAAGATCTGCATAAGCTTTTCCTCTAGATTTGTGATAAGAGCTGCCCCTTTTGTTCAAATAAATACATTTATCACTGAGACTTGTAAAAATGTTGTAATGAGCTACACAAAGACGAACATGTATGTAAGTCTATATTTGCGCTTTGTAAAGATTTACTCGCTAGGTCAGTTCTTTTCAGTACTTCGAACCAAAAGGCAAAATAAATACCAAATTCCAACGTAGCCATATTTTCTTGTAAATTGTTTGCTTGACAGCGAACTGCCATCTTCTCATCGTCGTTAGAGGAGGGATAACTCTAAAGTGCTTGCTTATATCTTGATAGCATAATTTAAGAGCTTATAATGCATTAAATCGTCCTGAACATCGAGTCACATTAACTCTTTTTGGAAGAAATGTTGTATGGCCACAATTTTTCAATAGATCAGTGAGTCGTTTCCATCTGTAAGTTGAAGCTGAGAAAAAAACATAAATTTCTTCAGCAACTAAAAAAAAATACTTTCCATAGTGCATTCTGCTGCATGTTGCACAATCAAATTTAGGGAATGGGTCTGCACATGGTACATATTTTGACAAACTATTCCTAGATTTTATTCGGGCGTTGAGACCGCTATAAACGCCAGACATATTATTCGCATTGTCTTACGATTGTCCCCTGCAGTCATCGATATTATTATATTCAGGTTGGACAAAATTTTTACAATGCTGGCTTTCATATCTTCGGCTTTGTGGGCATGTTGTCTAAAACGTATGAACCTCGACAGATGTTCCGGTGTCTGAGCAATACCTTATACTGAATGTCAGTTGATATGTACATGTTATATCAGGCGTAGATTCAATATTGATTGAATAATATTTGCCACAATAAATTTGTTTTACAATTTCTTCTAAAATATGGTCCGAAAGCACTTGCAAAAATTCAAAACAAACCGCTTTTGATAAATACTAAACGACAGCCTTTTGAAGCATATTTTTCAATATGTTCTTTTAAAAGAGGATCATATTCCGCCAACAACTCTAGTAATCCAATGTAGTTGCCAGTGCTAGTAGAATCAAATTTTTTGTCGGTTCCTATAAAAGGTAGTCCCCTACTAGCTAAGAATTTTATGACACTGACGACTCTGTAATATGTTTCGCCAATATGTGGTCTCATGTTCAATGAGACCCCCCCCTTAATCCGGCACTGGCAACAGTAGATAACCTGCATCCAGTTAAATTAAGATGATCCGCTTCTAAAAACCGCTTCTGTCTCTGTCGTGTGGCCAATCAACTTCCGTTCCGTACACGTTCATTCCCTAGAAGCGCTAAAAAATCTGCATAGATAAGAGGGTTAGGTTAGGTTAGGTTAGAAGAGGATAGAGAAAGAAAATTAAATTAAAGGGAACGAAATGAAAAGAAAAATGAAATTGAAGAAAGCAAAAGTGAAAATTGATTCTAAAAAAAAACTGAAGAAGCCTATCAGAAATATCATTAGTGATCAAGATATAGAAATAACAGAACCGAAAAGAAAGCGCGTTGGGATAACAGATGAAAGCATCGAGGAAGAAAAACCCTTAAAAATACTTAAAAAGGAAGTTATTAAAATAGGCAAAGGACGTGTTGGTCACGTTGGATACGTGTTAGTCAAATACCAAAACAAAAAATACCCTGGATTGGTATCAGATGCTGAGAATGATGAATATGAAGTAAGTACTATGGAGTAAGAGCTAGGCAAGAAACACAAATGGAGATGGCCGAATGTTCCAGATAATATATGATATAAGTATCACAATATTGTAAAGAAAATTCCAGAGCCTAGCTATGGTTGTTCTGATGGCTATTTTTATGTTTACAATTGGTAATTTTTATTTTCTGGATGACTTACTATCAAAGAGTAGTTATTATGTTATTTGTATCATCGTTTTGTTTTTATGTTAATATCTTATTTTTTTAAAATAGAAACTGTTAGATATGTTGTCGACTTTACTATATTATTATAAGTATTGCAAATTTTTAATTTCTGTCTTACCTAAACTAATATATACCTCATAATATAGATATTAGATATTAATTATTTATATTTACTATTAATATTTACTATATTATATTTACTATTAATAGAAATAATTACTATTTTGAGAATAAAAACTCATGCTTATTCACTGGCTTACTATCGTTCAGAGATACCTGTTCACTTACTGGAGTTTTATGCAATGTTAATAAAATACTTGGAAAATTATATATTAACCCTTAAGTACCATGGCGGGGTCAAAATTGACCCCCCGCGTTTTTAATGCCAAGATTCGCTACCGAAACATAGATTGATCATTGCGCGCTTTTTGCTAATCTTCGACCGGTAGGTGATTTATCGATCTACGAAAATTCCGTTAGTTTATCTGTTACTACTGCATAGTTGGGCACGCATAGGATCAATTTTGACCCGCTTATGGTATAAGTGTTTCTAGTGCAATTAACGAGTAATTTGAAATGGCGGGATGTAGTCGCACTAAACGTCCTCTGACACAGAAAGAACTTAAAGAGGAGGGGTAAAAAATTATGGACAATGGACTAGATAGTGACAGTGAGTTTTAGACCAGCCTAGTGAACACAGTGATCACGAAACAGACAGTGAAGAGGAATGGGAATGGACGATGATGACGAAAAAAATTGGCAAATTAATAATTCCGAAACTGGTAGTGAATATTCGGGTGAAGAAAGTGATATAGCTGACTCAAGGGATGTGTTTTATGGCAAAAATAGGTAGAAGTGGTCTAAAACTTTTCCCACCTTTTCTCGTACACGTAAGCATAATTTAATTAGTCATTTACCTGGTGTAAATCAGTTGATGCTTGGGAATGTTTTATTAGCGACGATATGTTGCAAGAAATTCTTGAGAAAACCAATGAACGAATAACTAATATGGCTTCTAAATATAATTTACACAATTTATCGTGTCAATATACCAATCATCTTGACCTAATTGAATTAAAGGCCTTCTTAGGCTTATTATATTTAGCAGGGGTATTTAAATCCAATAATAAAGATTTAAGGTATTTATTTGCTACGAATGGTACTGGCCGTGATATATTTCGAGCAACCATGTCACTAATCCGAGGCAATAGTATTCGTTTCTTAGCAGTGTATTTTTTCATAGCACAACCCCCAACCTGGAGGACCAGAATTTTCTGCCTGGATTTATTCCCATAGCCGATATGTTCCAGTTTTAAGGCGCCAGAAACTCAGGGAAGACATGGAGAAGATGGAAGTAAGGCCATGGGAAATAATAGCACAGGATCGGAATCAATGGAAGGCAATAGTAAACGCGGCAAAAACTCTCGAAGAGTTGTAAAAGCCAATGATGATGATGATGATGTCACTAATCCGATTTTATTTTTTGCTTGGAAGCCTTTGTTTTGACGACCCAGCTACTAGACAAGAACGTATTGCGCACAGAGATAAACTGGCAGCTATATCCAATATTTTTAATATGTTTATAATTAATTGCCAGTCCAATTATAGCTGTGGTGAATATCTCACAATAGATGAAATGCTTATTGCATTTAGAGAAAGGTGCCAATTCAGGATGTATCTCAAAAATAAGCCAGACAAATACGGTCTGAAAATGCAGTGTTTAGTAGACTCTTAAGACACATTATTTGCTAAATGATTTTATATATACTGGAAAAGATACATCCCCACTCTTATTCCATCAATTTCTGGTACAAATAGAAACATAACAGCAGATAATTGGTTTTCGTCCATTGAGCTCATAAAAGAACTGAGAAGACATAAAATTTCATATGTTGAAACTCTAAAAAAAAATAAAAGAGAGGTTCCTGCTGAATTTCAACCCAAAAAAAATAGGCCACCTAATTCTGCCTTATTTGGTTTTACAGGAAGCGAGAGCCTGGTATCTTTTGTTCCTAAGAAAAATCGTGCAGTGTTGTTAGTGTCAACTATGCATCATTCCAATACAATGGTTAATGGAAAGCCAGAGATTATAAATTTTTACAACGAGACAAAAGGTGGGGTGGATTTATTGGATAAGAAATGTGCATGCTATAAAATTGGCAGAAGAACTCGTAGATGGCCTTAAGTAATATCGTTTCGCATTTTGGACATTGCAGGATTAAATGCTAACGTAATTTTTAATGGAGTTCAGCAAAATCAAATAATGAAAAGAAGATTGTTTCTAACCACTTTAGGTCAAGAACTTATTAAGGCCCATTAAATTCGTAGTGTCATTTTTAAAGTTTCCGGACTTCAGGAACCAGTGCCTGCGGCAAATCCAGAGCCACAATGACGAAAAAAGAGGGGAAGGTGTAAAATATGTCCATATTCCAAAAACCAAAAGAAAGAAAGCTCATCGTACGATAAATGCCGAGATTTTATTTGCAAAAATCATTCCCGCATACAGACATTATGCATAAGCTGTGTTGAAAATTAAAGTAAAATCATGCTTGTCATTTTTGAGATACGAAATCTAAATCGATTTTTTTTAATTTTAGGTAGGAGCTATGATACCTAGATTTCACCATTGGATATAAAAAAACTGCACATTGTTATTATTTTTCTTATAATTCGAGAAAGTGCATAGCTATGTTAATTTGACTGAATACAAAAGTTTTTTTTTTTAATAAAGTTATATCTAATTAACCAAATTCGTTTATTATTATATAAATGTAAAAGTAGCTGTAAACAAAATAATTTAAAATAAAACAAGTTAAAAAAAGAATATTTTTTGATACAAAAAAATGGGGGTCAAATTTGACCCTGCCATGGTACAAATGTTACTATTTTTGGCCATGGTAGTTAAGGGTTAAGATTCACTGAATTAACTTTTGTTGACTTTTTAAGATTTAAAATAGTTTAAGTTACCTATGTATGCATTTTTAGCCATATATCAAAATCATCAAGCTTATTTCATGACCCAAAGTCCAGGATACCCCTATTTGTTCATTCACTGGTGCACTGACCCTATAGTATTGGTTTAGGAGTGCAAGATTATCAGGATGGTTAAAGTTTAGTCAACTTTAGTTTTAAAGGTTCACTAAACTTTAGGTTAAAGTTTATTGAATTTGAAAAAAAAAAAAGATTTTTCCCCTTAAATTTATTTAAAGAATTATTGACTTTCCATAAGGGGTAGTTAACGGGCGAAAAATTACTAAGGTGGTATTAAATTCATAAATTCATAAAAATTCATAGCACTGATATCATGAATATTCTTTTTGGAATTGTACTAGTTTTAACTGTAAGCCAGCAAAATCGCTTCCCTTATGTGTGGTTTGGTGGTAAACAATTATTAGGGTGTTTTGGTGGTGAAAAATTATTAGTGTGGTAATAAATTAGTAAAAAATGGGTAAAAAATATGCCATAAGCAAAAAGTTTTTTTTTCGAATTCTACTAGCTTGAACCTTAAGCCAGCAGAATCGCCTCCCTTAAGGTTGGTTTGGTGGTGAAAAATTATTAGGGTGGTAATAAATTAGTGAAAAATGGGTGAAAAAATATTACGTAGATTAAATTGGATTCCGCTCATTTGTCCCAGCTAGCATAGGGTCCTGAATTTTGACACATTGGTTTCTAATTGGTCGTTTAATGGTTACAAAGCACAAGTATTTGTAGATAACGAAAGGTCTTTTGCAATTGTTTAGTTATCAGTAAATTTCCGAATTTTAAGTATGTAGTTGTAACTATTTATACCTGTAATATATCTATATAACTACATATTTTTATATTTTGGTCACACAAAAATTTCTAATGCAAATTATTCATGATGAAGGAATAAAGAGTCGTAGTATTTGTTAAAAATTGGAACAAATATTTTAAATTTTATCTCGAAGGGTTTTTAATTATTTCATGGTAAAAAATGATTGAAATCGGTTAATGACCTCAAATGCTACATATTTATTTTCAGTTTAAATGAGCCACTATGTTTAAAACAATAAATTAACAGATCTAAAAATGTTGAAAAGATGTTTGTTCCAATTATAGAGTTATTGCAGTATAAAATTAAAATCAACTTTCTTTTAATATACTTACTTCCTTAATAATCTTTTACAGCTATAAACGAGAAAAAAATAATGGCTGCCCACCGAATACTAAAAATTAATATTATAAGTAAAGTCAGGCAAATTGATTGCGATAATATTCAATTGTTTAATAGTGTCTCAGGTTTGTTAAACAAGATGGTCGTTTTAATAAAAATTCAAATTTTTTGTCTAGCTGCAGCTGGTATTTTCGCTTATCAAGGTTCTGAAGAAAACGAACGACTAATACCATATAACCTGGTAAATATTATTTAGATTATTTTGTAATAATTTATCAAAATATTATTTATCATTAATATTATATTATTATTTTGTACTACTTAAACTTAAACTTAACTTAACTTAAACTTTTATTTAATTATTCATGTAGTAGAAACAATTTATTATAGAACAAACATTTTACTACAAAGTATCTATTCCAGACGGTGGGGTTAAATAGCTATTTATATTATACGATTATGGGATTTTTAAGTTGTTGTTAAGCTGTTCCTAGGGTATCTGCCGCCCAGGTGCGGGAGAAATTTGGCCGCCCTTCCTTTCTTCTTCTTCAAGTGCCGTCTTCGTTCCGAAGTTTGGCTATCATCAAAGCTATGCGTATTTTTGATGCTGCAGATCTAAACAGTTGGTAATTGGTGCAATTGTTCCATTCTCTCAAGTTTTTCAACCATGAATGCCTTCTTCTTCCTATAGATCACTTTCCCATTATCTTTCCCTGTATAATCAACTCCAGCAACTGGTATTTATCTCCCCTCATAACATGTCCCAAATATTGTAGTTTGCGCTTTTTAACAGTAAGTATCAACTCTTTCTCTTTCCGCACTCTCCGCAAAACCTCCACATTTGTTACTTTCTCTGTCCAGGGTATTCTTAATATTCTACGATACATCCACAACTCAAATGCTTCTATCTTTTTGGTATCGATCTTTTTCAATGTCCATGTTTCCATCCCGTAGAGGAGAACTGACATAACGTAACATCTCAAAAGGCGAATTTTAAGTTTTAGACTTAGATCTCTTCCGCAGAACACCTTTTTCAATTTAGTAAATGCGGCTCTAGCTTTCTCTATTCTGGTTCTGATTTCTTCAGAGCAATCATTATTTTCGTTGATAACAGTTCCCAAGTAATTATATCTTCTTACACGTTCGATTCTTTGATCATGCACGGTTATGTCAGGGAAGTTTTGTGGTGATTTAGATATTAGCATTATTTTTGTTTTGCTTATGTTAAGTGATAATCCGTGTTCTTCACTGCATTCTACTATTTTGTTAATTAGTATTTGAAGATCTTCCCAAGTTTCTGCGATTAGTACCGTGTCATCGGCATATCTCAAGTTGTTTATTCGGATGCCATTTATCTTAATACCTATATTTTGATCCGAAAGTGCTGTGTTTATAATGTCTTCGGAGTATAGATTGAATAAGGTCGGTGAGAGTATACAACCCTGTCTTACGCCTTTCTTGATCTCGATTTCCTCCGTTGTCTCTTGCTCTATTCGGATATTTGCTTTCTGGTTATAGTAAATCTTAGAGATAATTCTAATGTCCCTTTTATCCAAGTTTTTTTCTACTAGCAGTTTCATTAAGTGATCGTGACGAACTTTATCAAACGCTTTGTTGTAATCAATAAAGCACATATATATATATATATATATTATATATATATATATATATATATATATATATATCTTGGTTTATATCTAGACATCTTTGGCATATGACGTTAAGTGCAAATAGTGCTTCTTTTGTTCCAAGCCCGTTCCGAAATCCGAATTGAGTATTACTAATATCTGCATCTAGTTTTTTGTTAATTCTTGAGTGGATTACTTTGATGAATACTTTTAATGTATGCCCCATTAAGCTTATAGTGCGGTAGTCAGTGCACTGTTTTGCATTTGCTTTTTTGGTAAGGTTACAAAAGTTGAAAGTAGCCATTCCTTTGGTATTTCTCCCCTTTTGTAAAGGTCGAGTAGAATATTCACTGATTCGCCTTCCACAAGCTTAAGAAGTTCTGATGTGAGCCCGTCTGGACCCGGTGATTTACCATTTTTCAATATTTTTATAGCGTATAATAGTTCTTCTTTAGTTATTTCTGGTCCTTCGTTGCCTTGCAAGTTATCTATATTAGGTTCTTGTCTTTCATCGTCGAACAATTCTTCTACATAGTTCTTCCAGGTCCTAAGCTTTTCTTGTAGATCGGCTATTATTTCACCATTTGCGTTGCATAGGAGATTGGGATGTTTTCGTTTTTGTGTACCTGTCAGTTCCTTTATCTTTTTATGTAAGTTAAAAGTGTCATGTTTGAGATGTAGTTCTTCGATTTCCTCGCATTTTCTTGTATAAAAATTTTCCTTTGCAGTTGTTTTTTCTTTTCTGATTTGTTTGTTTACTTCATTATATTTTTGGCTGCATTTTCCCTTTAACTGTCTTCGCTCTTCCATGAGACCTAAAATTTTTTCTGTTATCCATTCTCGTCCTTTTTTCTGTTTCTCCTTGGTAAGCATTTTCTGGGCAGGTTTTATTATGGCGTCTTTTAAATCTTGCCACTTGTCTTCTACCTGCGTGTTCTCTGTCTTTGTAGTAAGCATTCGTAAGTTATCATTGATATGTTGTTTTAAATCTTCTTTAATTGTTGGATCTTGTAAGCGGCTGGTATCTATGTGATCTATTTTTGTTTTATTTGAAGGTCTTTTGAGTCTAATGTATACCCGCGCTATCAGGGGCGGGTACACATTAGACTCAAAAGTCTAATGTGTACCCTTAATAAAACCTTAATAGAAAGTTTATAAGCATTTGTAAATCAAAAAGTTAAAATAATGTTACGTTAAAAAAATTTTTTTTTCGTCAAAAGGTATAACTCTAAAAAGGTTATACCTCTTTAATGTCTCATTACATGGCCGAAATATTGTAATTTTCAAATTTTTGTTGGAGGATTACAAGATTAGAATTGGTAGCGGAGCCTCATAAGCATAACTGAATACCATCTGTCCAGATGGGCTTGAGGATCGCCTTGTATATAAACAGTTTTTTATCCAATATTAATTTAGAGTTGCAACTAAGCAATCAGTACTTATATCTAAGTTTAATACCAAGTTGTTTTCTTTTGGTAAAGATGTGCTTCCACAGTTAAGTCGTCTGTCAAGATGAATACCTAAGTATTTTGTGTCGTTTGCATTACTTAATTTCTTAATTTCTTGCCTTTAAGGGTGACTGTGGGGCATTCACCTCGTTTCATTGTGAAGTTTACATGTGTTGACTTCAGGGTTTAATTTAAGAACTTTATTTGTAAACCATTATTGCGACCCTTTATTTTTCACCGTTATCTTAGCCCTGTAACCTAGCCCTGTAACTCCGCCTCCTGTAAGTGGTAGCTCAGTAAATTCCAGTGCCGGTCCCAAGCCCGGATAAAGGAGAAGGGTTGAGGCGATGGGCTAGCAACTCATCCCTTGTCAAAACAAATAAATGCTAAAAATTTCGACCAAAAGCCTCGGAATACAAAGGATGGATCAAAACAAAGACGACTAATGCAACGGAAAAGGAAAATGATATTGGCTACCTGGAATGTACAAGGACTTAGATCCAAACAAGCAGAAGTATTAATTTAAATATATAGCAGAAAGAAAAATAGATATTTAAAAAATGCCTTCATGAGGCTGCAAGTAAAGTCTTGGGTTATAAAGACAAACATGAAACAAAAAATCAAGAATGGTGGTCGGAGAATATGCAAACTTTAGTCAACAAGAAGAAATCTGCTTATCAGAAATAGATGTCAACGAGAAAGGATGAAGATTACAAGATATATTAAAAATTAAATCGAGATGTAAAAAGAGATGTAGTGAAAAGTAAAAATAAGATGTAAGATCGAAGATATGTAGAGGGGGATAGGTATATGGGTAGAAAAAGAGTTGGGTAAGCTTGGAAGGTGATAAAGTGTCTCCGGAGGAAAGGAAAGGAAAAATCTAGCTTACAGTTAATAGATCTGAAACAGTGGAAACACCATTATGAGGTCTCACCGACAGAGGATAGATGTAAATTCCAAGAGATCGAAATGGAAGAAATATCTGAACACACACAAACAATTGAGATAACAACCAGAGAGTTAAATGATGCCCTCAAAAGATTAAAAACGGTAAAGCAACAAGACCTGGAGACATTCCAATTGAGTTGGTAAAGTATGGACCAAAAATATTACATGAGATGTTGGTTCAACTATTTAACAAATGCTTAAAAGGACAAAATATCCCTGATGATTGAAATATTGAATACATCAGCCCAATATTCAAGAAAGGGGATAAACGCAAATGCTTTAATTATAGGAAAATAGCTGTTATCAGCTTAGTGGGGAGGTTGTACGGTCGAATAATAAAAAAAAGAATAGAATCAGAATACGAAGACATAGAAGAACAAAATGGATTTCGTGCAGGAAGATCGTGTACTGATGGTATATACGTTCTGCAGCAGGTAATCGAAAAACGGAAGGAAAGGAATCTATCTACCCACCTATTGTTTGTAGATTTAGAGAAGGCATACGATACGGTACCTTTGAAAAAACTGTTTCAAACATTGACGAAAGTAGGTCTCAGTAGTGAGTATGTAAATTTTATCGCAAATATATACAAAAATGCAAGAAGGGTCGTTAAAGAAGAAAACTTTATATTTGAATAATTTCCAATAACAAAGGGGTTTAAACAAGGATGTTGTCTATCTCCGACCTTATTTAAAATATATATTCAATCATCGCTAGAGCAGTGGAGGAAACAAGTATCCGGAATGAGAATAGACATAGGCGATGGTAAATGTCTAACAACTTTATTCTTCGCAGATGATCAGGTAGTTGTAGCGAATGATGAGGAAGACATGGACTACATGTTTAGAAAACTAAAGAAAGAATATGAAAAATGGGGCCTCAATATAAATATGTCAAAGACAAAGTATCTTAAATTAGGAGATGATAAAGAAGATCCAGAGTTAGAAATTAAAAACACAAAAACATGCAAGGAATATAAATATCTCGGATCTATAATATCTAAAGAAGGCACTACCAAAAGAGACATCGAAAACATAACGCAGCAGGGAAAAAAAGCGGTTAACATTCTAAACTCTCTACTATGGTCTAAAGATATTAAACAAGAAACGAAATGGACAATGTATCGAACCTTGGTAGAGCCTATTATGACTTATGGGCCAGAAGTTTGGCAGATCACGAAAAAAGATGTAAAAAGAATAGATATGTAGATGGAAAGTAGTAGATATGGATTTTCTAAAGAGAGCGTGCGGTGTATCCACAAAAGATCATATCAGGAATGAGGATATTAGAATAAGGCCAAATACTGTATATTTCAATGTAGGCAAAATTGAAACGGGACAACTAGTGTGGTATGGTCACGTGAAGCGAATGAATGAAGATAGATGGCCAAAGAAAGCTTTAAATTACATACCATAACAAAGAAGAAGAAGTGGAAGGCCTTCAGTTGCCCGGGAAGAAAATGTACGACACATAATGAGAGATAGAGCCATCACAGAAGACGAATGGATGGACAGAAAACGATGGCAGTCGAAATACTAGAGGCGGCAGAGGCTGTAGGAATCTCGCTTATATATATAATATATATATATATATATATATATATATTATATATATATATATATATTTATATATATATATTATATATATATATATATATATATATATATATATATATATATATATATTATTATATATATATATATTTATATATATATATTATATATATATATATATATTATATATATATATATTATATATATATATATATATTATATATATTTATATATATATATTATATATATATATATTAGTTTTTATAACTTTAATTGACTTTAATTAGGAGTCAAATCTAAAATAATACAAAAATATTTTCTACTTTTAAACAGATATATAGTTTCATATCTTATGTGCATTCCTAAGAGGGAAATTAGTTTGTTTTAAAAAAGCAAATAAAAGGTTCTTCCAGATCTTTTTTCATAGAGGAGGATGTAACATACTATGGGACATAACGGAATTCGTAACATTCTTCTACAAAAGAACATTTCAGTGGCATCAACCTTTCTTCTTTCCGCTTGTCGTAGGGTCCAAGATGCACATCCGTACACTGACACTGATTTTTTTTCGGTGCAAAAAGCCCATATTAAACTCAATATTGAATATGTGTCTGTATTGCAATGGTGGCAGTACAGTGAATACAATTTGGCAAACATTAAAATATGGCTACAATTTGGAAAAAAGCTCATCAAAATACATCTTAGTTCTTTTGCTGAAATCGACTTTATATGGGTACGAATGAAATTTTTAACATTTGCCCTGTTCTTATGGCGACCACTCATATCTCCAAGCATAAAGCATATCTGTTCCCTTAATTTTCGTTTCTCCTGATCTGATTAAGAGACAGTCCAACAACTGCATATTACGTCCATTCCTAATATAACATCCTCTTCGATGTCAGCAACTATAACAGTATGGACGAACTTTTCTGCTCCAATTCCTACTTGTACCTGGATTTCTCCATGAATGTTGGCATTTTCACCTGTAACGGTCCGAAGTCGCAACCTCGTTAGTATACTGGTTCTGGTCGCTTCGGTATTTACCAAAAACGTAAACCTTTTACCATTTATTTCTCCATCTACATATACACAATCTTCAAGACATTTCAAAGAAGCTATTAGTATGGAGGGTGGTATATATATATAGTATATATATATATATATATATATATATATATATATATATATATAAATGTTAATCTTTTTATCATATTTGTTACCAATGCATGTGTATAACTATATATATTTTTTATTTTTAGCGGGATAAACCTACTAAAACCAATAATGATTCATTATCAGCTCTTCTTAATTCTAATAATCAGGTATGTTAATAAATTTAGTTTAGAATTCTTAAATTTAGTAACTTTACTAAAACTTTTACAAAACCTGAACAAAAGAAGCAATATTGACCACATCTCAGACCGTGAATAAATTATCCGGATACATGTAGCTAGATTGTGGTGAAAGTCTGAAAACGCATCAATAATAAAGAATTTGAGATCTATATTTCTGATTAAGTATTACTGCTATATAAATTAACGATATAAAGCAAATATTATAGTCATAAATTAAGAAATTACCAACAAAAAGCTCAATGATGAAATTAATACAGTTATTAATAAAAGCATATCAAAATTAGAAGCAGTAGAGGAGAAGGTGGGAATATGGCCCCTTAATTTGTTTTTCGACTAAAGATTATAAACAATCAAAATTTTTAAATTTTAATTTTCGTCCACATAACTATTAGTCTAATACTAATACAGTATTATTAAAAAATATAAAAAAAATCAAGATCTAACATAAAAAAATTATTCTTGTCAGTATCTAGGATACTGTGAAAAACAAAAACGTCACTCTTATATGGCCCCCAGGGATCCATACTAAAGGAATACAAAAATCTTTTGGCAGAAATCGCAGATATAATGTTCAGTTTCTGCACCAGTACATTCATTATGTCGCCACAAAAGACAGCTATGACACTGTACCCAAGATTCCCATCTGCTATTACTTGAATAAGACTCCCCCCAAAAGATGCACACGGCGTCGTCGTTATCAGGAATTGAACCCTGTGAACTTAGTTCGGAATCTGTACCCGCTTCAATACTGAAAAGATCACTTTCTTCGGTCTCAAAATCTTTGGCTTTTTTGTAAATTTGACCTCATCATCGTCCCCTTCCGCGTCCACCACTCTGTTTACGGTCTTCAGTTTTCTTAAGAGATTGTTCTAATTCAAATTTATAAGGCGATGATGTAATTACAGTGGCTCTTGTTGATTTTCTTCCTCGATTTGAGGTTTTTATTTTAGGCTTGGGTATTGGTGAAATTTGATTCGGTAGTATGAGCGAAGGGTTTACAGCTGATGATGTTCCTGGCTTTGAATATAAGACAGAAGGCTTTATAGTTAGCAGTCTTCCCTGCTCGTTAGATGATTTGTGTTGAAGAGATACTGAATATGATGTTGACGTGCTTGGAGCACATGACTTCAGTTGAATTGAGGATTCAGGAACAGTGCATGAAGTGGGTTGGAGAGACAATTCTACAGGTAATGTAGCAGTTTCCACAGACAGTTTAGGTGGGTTCATCATCGAAGAAGTTGTACTCGATGATATATTTTTCTCTTCCATTTGAAGTGATTGTGACTGCTAGAAAATCAGCATATTGAAAAATTTGAGGTTTGAAGCGATATATTCCAGTCTCTCTAAAACCATTTACTGCCATCTCAGCTATTGCACATTTTAAGTAAGCTTTACCCAATATCTCAGCAATATCATGAGGCTTAAGCTTTCTGTCAGAATGTAACAAAAATTTTCTTATTTCTTCACTATAATAAGATTTAAGTGCACCCATAAATGTTTTATCAAGCGGTTGCAGCTTGTGCGTATGATGAGGAGGCAAGTTGATAATGGTGACATGCTTTTCACGAGCAACTTCTAGAATATCAACATTACGAGTGAGGCTGTAATGTTCATCGAGTATAAGAATAACAGGAAAATCATCTGTTCGATTGGTTTCATTTCTCACCATGCCTGTAAATAAAATGTTTCTTTCTCGCATTTAATCCGATTCGCAAATTCATTAGAAAAAATATTTATTAATGTCCACCAACAAGTGCGTTAATTTTTTACGTCCACCAAGGTTTTTTTTTAGAACTCTTAAAAGTGCAATAAATTTTTAGCTTTATTGTTTTATATTATATTTTTTTTTTCGTAAATGAATAAAAAAAATGGCTTATTTCTGGAATTTTAACCCACTATATGGAACGTTAAAAATTATTAAAAACCGCTAAAAGCATCTGAGAATGGGTGGGTTGCTTTTTACTATAAAATGTTAGATTTGAACGGCAATTAAGTATTGTATAATCGCACGTCAACTCGGGCACTCTCTCGTCACGAATCATAGTACGTATAACTCAATCATTTCACAATTTCATAGGCATACTACGGAAAATCTGTTCGTATGTAGTAGAAAAAAAAGAACAAAATTAATCTTAGTTAAATACTTCTTTGTAAAAAAGTGTTTTTGTAACAGTGCAATATAAAATAAATTGCTTTTAAATTTATCAAACATTTCTTATTACCATTTAGATTTAGACTTACGCAAAAATTATTTTACACAAGACCTGGAAAGACTCATGAACAAAATAGTCATGTGTAGTAGGGAGTACGGACTCTCTCTTAATGTCAAAAAGACGAAGTTTATGAAAATTTGTAAAAACAACTATAATACTAACGAAATCTTGATAGTAGAGGGCCAGCAGATCGAAAGAGTAAAAAAGTACACTTACCTAGGAACACTTATAACAGAAAATAATGACTACACGGCAGAAATCAAAGTCAGAATCGAAAAAGCACGTTCTAATTTTATAAAAATGAAAAAGGTCCTATGTGGCAAAGATCTAACATTAGCTCTTAAAGTACGCCTAACAAAATGTTACGTATACAGTATACTATATTATGGAGTGGAATCATGGACGTTAAATCTAGATACCATGAGACGACTTAACGCTTGTTTTTATAATCGTGTACCAGTACCACACACTTTCTTTTTCTTATCTTTATCTTTCTGTTAACCTCAACACTAAACAAATAAAAACTAAAAACCTCCATTCAATATTCGATCCTACTTCTTTCTTTAGCATTGTGTTTTGTTTTGACCGTTTTGAGTTTGACACACTTTCATTTCAACCTTTCAAATGAAAGTGTGTCAAACTCAAAACGGTCAAAACAAAACACAATGCTAAAGAAAAAAGTAGGGTCGAATATTGAATGGAGGTTTTTAGTTTTTATTTGTTTAGTGTTGAGGTTAACAGAAAGATAAAGATAAGAAAAAGAAAGTGTGTGGTACTGGTACACGATTATAAAAACTAGCAATATAGCGCACCTGGACTGGAATAATTTTATTAGAATACCCTATGCACTGTATCAGAAGAAATTGATGAACCAGTTTTCATCAACCATGGTATTTTTCTATGTTTCCGACAGAAAATTTATTGTGGAAGGATTTACTTACGTGCTTTTAGGTATAACAATGATGCTCCTGTTATTCGTTTCAACAAAGAAAATGTACCTTTAGAATTGAAAAAAGGATAAAAATTTGAAATTTTCAAAAATATACATCTTTTGTAATAATCTAACTTTAATCATTAGTTATAAATAGTACTTACATGTAAACAACAGATTACATATTTTAAACTCCTAATGTAAATTATTCTATTTAACAAAAAATCTTAAATAAAAACGACTTAACGCCTTTGAAATGTGGACCTATAGAAGAATTATGAGGGTTTCCTGGGTAGATAGAGTTACAAACAATGAAATACTGAGAATAATAGGCAAAGAGAAGGAAATTGAACTTACAATTAAAGAAAGAAAGCTACAGTATCTCGGACATGTGATGCGGGGCGATAAGTATGGCATCCTGCGACTCATAATGCAAGGAAAAATAGATGGCAGAAGAAGCATCGGAAGAAGACGAATTTCATGGCTGAAGAACCTGAGAGAATGGTTTGGATGCAGCTCAAAACAACTATTTAGAGCTACTGCCTCAAAAATTAAGATAGCTATGATGATTGCCAACCTCCGTAGCGGAGATGGCACCTGAAGAAGAAGAAAAATTATTTCCGACGAAGGAATATTTAATTTCAATCTTCATACTTAGCTATTTCCAACGTCTGGCTCTCTACTTATGTTAATGTTAAAAGAAACAGTCCACAATACATGCCACAAGAAAACAGTTTCATAACAAAAGCAATTTTTTATTTCTGCTGACCGCATTAACTACTGATATTATTATTGTTACATAGTGTGTGTTGAGTAAATACTTTCTTACTAAATAAAATTTTCCTTTATTGTCATATATCATCACTATAAATTTGAATAACTGCCTTACTTCGTGAGGGTACCGATTATGCAAAGATATAATTTCTAATTATTTGTTTTCACCCATTTTACAACATTAAGAAAATTGGTAAAAACCTTAAATTATCCATGTATATCTGTCCGTGAACACAACTTATCCGTTATTAGAACAGATAGAATGACAATTAAGCCGAATGAGAGGTTATAACCCAAAGATGGTAATAAAGGTATCGACCTCTGACTTCCGGTTCGAAAATTAAACCGGAAGTACTGTTTTTTTTTAAGATATTTTAACCGAAAGTTTGGCAAATATAAGTGAAATGAGGTGAAACAGATTAGGGTGGAAAAGAATCCTGGAAAACGCCAAGACTCAAAAAGGTTTGTCCAGCCAGTGATGATGTTGATATTATGGCATTATGTGAATTTGGTACAACCTACTTTATTCATTATTTTTTTTTTTAGAAAAACTAAATATTATAAAAATAGGAAAAATATAAAGATTGAGATAAAAATTGTTTTACCTGGTATAACTAGACTGTACCGTGAACATTTTTTTCATAAAGAGAAATCAATTTATTTAAAATGAATATATATATATATATATATATATATATATATATATATATATATATATATATATATTATATAAGTGTGTATTAATTTTTTGATATAATTTAATATTATTTTTATTTTATAGGGAAAGAAAAAGGTGTCTTTGACTCCTAAAGAACTGGCTCATTTGATTGCTTCTTCCCTAATTCACAGTTTAAGACCACGGATGTTTTCGGTAAGATCACCTTTTATATTTCTAATATACACATAAACCTATTTTTTTGATGCCACTGACAGTAAAAAACTAAAGGTAATTCGAACACTATAACTGAACCAAATAAGAGTAAGAACGCATTCGAGTTCATTGATAACCCGAATAGCAAAAGCACGGCTATTGGACACAAGACTCAATAAAATGCAATAACAAAATAAAATTTACTTCTATACAATATGTAAAATTATAGTTCTTTGCCGTTAAAACCGATGAATTGAAAATGAATGCTAACGGCATTCGGATGGGTAAAACAAAAAAAGATCTTTAGCCAATACCCCTAAAAAATAGCGGGCACATACAGCGAGGACTATCTTTTACCAAGTGAAGACGAAGGATATTTACTCCTCCTGCTTATTCCTTGAGCCCTTGTCAGGGCGTGGTGATATTGTTGAAATATTGTTAGCTTGCTGTCTCCATTAACTGCGATCCTTCGCCATATTGACGCCTTAATGTAGGGATTTATCAACCAGTTTTCCACTAGAACTACCAATAGTTCCATGGTCCCCGTTTTGGAACCTGAGCTCAGTATTTCTTGTTATTGTTCGGTCTTTCAATATTTTAATTAATTTAAATGGTGTGATTCACGCCGTTGCTACTCTCCGCTTGATTTCTGAGAAACAATCGCCATTGTTGGCTATCAGGGAGGCCAAGGATTTAAATCTGTCTACCACTTCGAAATTTGCCTCTTGGTGTATGTGCGGTAGATTATCATTTGCTCTGTCTACGATCATTATTTTTGTTTTTCCGGTGTTGATCTGAAGTCAGAATTCTTCTCTTATCCGGCTTTCTAGTTCGGTGATGGTAATGATTTCGACATCACTTGCTGGCACTATAAGTGTGTCATGTGCGTTTTGCAGGTTACTGATTTTTCTGTCTCCTACAGTGATTCCCCCATTTTAGTTGTATAGTACTTTTCTCATCATATATTCAGAATATATGTTGTATATTAATGTTAATAGTATGTAGCCTTGTGTAGTTCCTTCCTTTTTTTGAACAGATCTAAATATATTTGGTGTATTATAACTTTTGAGTTTCTATCATACAGATTTCTTATTAGGTTAATTAGGTGGCTAGGTTCCGAAGCTGTACATACTATAAGACACAGCTAGAAATGCAGATATACGACATAGATGCAAGGTGGAGACCATCAAAAACTGGGTAAGAAATAGAAGAGCAGAATGGAACGATCATATAAGCCGAATGACAACAAATAGTGTAGTAAAGACGGCAAGAGACGGTTCCCCAATAGGAAGACGATCAGTAGGAATACCACGAAAACGATGGAATGGACAACATACTGGAGGCACATTAAAAAACAGACAGGATCATGTCTATATAAAAAGAAGAAGAAGGTAGCTAGGTACTTCAATATTTTTCATTATACTTCGGAGAGGATCTGTTTAGTTCATTTTCAGTTTTTCTAAACTTGGCGTTAAAGTATCCAATGATATATACTGGCTTTCTTGTGAGATTATCTTCAAGATGTTTTCTATGTTATTGTAAATGTCGTCAATAACTTTATCTTCAGATATTTACTATGTATCCACTATTATTCAGAATTGTTAACAAAACTATCGGTCCTTAGCTCTGCTGTTAGGAATCTGCTAAGATTTCTCTACTACGGTATAACTGGGCATTTACTACTATATTCTTCAGAAATATGTTGAAAAAAACATTTAAAAAACAGAAATATTCAAACTTTACAATATAATGAAGTTAAAAACCTCATGTATTTCTTGATTATATTTTAGGATTCAGATCCGCAGTTTGATACAGCAGAGGAGAACGTAAGTTCTGATGTAATGTTGGATGAGGTAAGCCTAAGTAACACAAATTGTTTTTATAATTATCAATAATAAGTATTGAACAATATAAATAAAGAGATTAGAGGATAAATGCATTATTGGAAGATACTGCAATGTTACTTTAAAAAAAAATGCAAAAAATATCTCTAATGAGAAAAATTACAATATACTTTAAAGTATACCCTACAGAGAAAAATAAAAATTCTTTTTTGTTAGTAACAAAAAAGAAGAAGATTTGTTCACCATTGATAGATGCCTGAAAAAATGTAACAAATACATGGAACAATTAAATCAAAATGTGATATTTTACTGGTTTCATATATAAACTACATAGAAATAATATAATTATAAATTTTGCTTAGATTTTGAATTTCTGATTTTTTTTAAATTAATATCACTTTTCCAAATACAAACCATTTCCAAAAAAGTCCTTTTGAATTTATTACTTTTACTACACAAAATTTTAATATTACCAAAATCCATAATGTGGTCTTTGTCGATTATCTAATCGGTTTCTACAAATTCTTAAGAACTAACGGAGAAATATATTTTCTAAATATTCATTCTATTGTCTTATCCACTGTACAAGTCTATTTGGAAAACCCGCTCGCATTGTTCATGGGTTCACTAATTGCACTCATGTCACTCAAATATATTTTACAAAAGAAATAATTTATGCATATCTTTAAAATTTTGTTTACTACAGGTAATCCAGGATAATGGACTTTCATTTCTTCGAAATATCTTTTATAGTTTATTAGTAGAATTATTTGAATTATTATATTTTGTACTTTGAAATATATTAAGCAAACCAATATTATTTTCGATTTTACATACATATTTTCTACAATTGATTTACAAAAGATAGGAATATTTTGATCAGGAGATCTAGAACAACAATTTTGATTTGAGATTTTAATTTATATTGTATGTACCATTAATTTTTGAAGGTTCACGTACCGTTCCCGTCATAAAAAACTCGTACAACTCTTATAACCGAAAATGCTGCTTTTCAAGCTGTGTAAGTTAATCTTGTCACATATGTCATTTTTTATTTTTGGGTCAACGTTGCCAGAACAACGAATATATGATATCTAACCAGCTAAAAGCAAGGCTTGAATCGTGTTTTATTGTAATTTATGAAAATATTTCAAAAAGAGAAATCATACGATTTCTACCTGGCGAAATCGAATTCAAATATAAGCCGCCGTGCCCCCTAAGACTTGCGAAGCAAACAGCTTGATGAATGCATCGGCAAGGGAGTCTAAAAATTGCACTCCAAATGCCGTTCATCATGGCCTATATTCGTAGTGAATTCGATTTCTGGTACTGCAAATGAAGTAAATAAACAAAACAAAATGACGGTATTAGATTTTGATTTGATACAGAGCAGCAACAAGCCGCATATACGTATTTCGATCTCTTTAGATCTCCTCAGTACGGTATAGTTACTACTCCATATCAAACCAAAATATTTTCCCGTCGTAGATTATAGTTATTAAAAATAACGATTTACGGACGTAACCACGCCATCTAAGAACAAAAAGAGAAATCATACGATTTCTACCTGGCGAAATCGAATTCAAATATAAGCCGCCGTGTCCCCTAAGACTTGCGAAGCAAACAGCTTGATGAATGCATCGGCAAGAGAGTCTAAAAATTGCACTCCAAATGCCGTTTATCATGGCCTATATTCGTAGTGAATTCGATTTCTGGTACTCCAAATGAAGTAAATAAACAAAACCAAATGACGGTATAAGATTTTCATTATTAGATATTAGATTATTAGATATTAGATCAGAAATTTTCGAAAAATTAATAATAAAAAAGTTTCCCATGTGATGCCGACTTAATTGAACACACATGTATAGATATATATATATATAATATATATAATATATATATATATTATACATAAATCAATAATGACAATATTTAAATTTTTTTTAGGGAGAGGCCGAAAAATTGATCCAACAAGCATCAGATTTGGATTTACTACAGTAAATTTAACTAAAATATAAGATAATCTGAAATCTAGTATATTATGTATTCAATAAATTGTTTTACAAATATTTTGACAAAATTAATAATAACATTATGCAAACGTTTCTACTCATGAACTAAAGTCAATCTGGCAAAAATGGAGTTTTTTAATTCCTAAATATAACCTGATTTATCCAAAAGCTGGTGTGGCATGCAGAAAGGATATAATTTTTTTTACCTTCTAGGTACTTGGCTAACAGAAACTTTGGATCTTTCTAGCAGGAATATATTATACACCATAAAAATATATAGGATTGTATTTCAGAACACATAGCATAAATCCATAGTTATTTATATAACCTCGGGACAATAAACATAGTTCTAGTAACTATTAGGGCTTCCGGTAAGGGTCTAAAATAAATATTTTTTTGACAATATATAAGAGAAAGGGTTTTGATTACCTCGTCAAGAGACCACTCAAACAAAATAACATTCTGGCTGTTTGACTTTCAAAGAGAGAAAGTTAGAAAGAGATGAGTTTCGCTGGGTTATTGAACGCTCTGAGTTTGAGGTGAGGTTCGAAAATATTAGGAACTACAGTAGGGTCCTTGAGGTAATTTAAATGCACTCGGCGGATAGATGGTTTGAGCAATATGATTTTGAATATTTATTCGGAATTATAATAATAAATGTTTTAAAGCTTTGAATCGGTTACACTTCCCCTTCACACATTTCAACCGGGTACCAGCTTAAAATCGGACTAAGCATGGTGAAACACCATACTAACCAATAAAAGTGGGAATACATACACAGAGATGTACGACAAACAGAACGGACAAATGCAGACATGTTACCACAATCCAGACTAAAATAATCTTCCACTCACAATTCATGTAAGATCAAAGATTTTAAAACAAAACGAAATAATACGTATAGGATATTTATAACTCAACCAAAAAAATATGAGAAAAGGAGGTAATAGCATTATCACTCTCAAAATGCATAGGGTATTTCACCTATGATCAATACCATAAACAATGCGGAATATACAAAACATAATATACAAATCATTATTATGAGACCAACTGCTTTCATTCAATACGAAACAACATCATTAAGGTACTATAATTTGGTATTTCACAAATGATATAAAATAAAACTCACTAGGGTTGTCACTAAGTTACAAAAAAATAATTCACTGTGTAATTGTTAGGAGACCTTAGGCCCACGCTAACATTACTTTACAAACACAAATGTGTTTGCTGACCCACAATAATGTTTTTGTGTTGACGCACAAAAAATATTATCGTTTATTCGAAAGCGTAGAGTCTTTTATCTATGACGTATTCCACGAATAACACAACATAATAACGCAACGCGTCATTATAAACACATTTAGAAACACGCAAAAAGGAAATGAGTTACTAGCAGTTCAAAATTGGGTATACTAAAGTTCAGCAAAGATAAGCCTGTAATAAGTTTACTGGAAAACAGACATCAGAATTTCTGAAAGGCATTGCTCTATTTAGAAACTGAGAGAGAAAGAGGGCTGATGTTTAGTTCTTAGTAAGACAACTAGAGTTGATGATAACTAACGCGTATCATACGCCTATAACAGTGACAAAATCGGTAGGTCAACTTCGGGTTGGGTCAACTTCGCGTAGGATCTAGATAAATCTAGGTTAAATAATTAAACAAGGTTTGGATAACTTAAAAAAAGGTTCCTGTCGCCGAAGATTATTATGCTAGGTTTATTACTGAAATTCAATTATGAATGACTTAATATTCGGACGAGTCAACTAGCGGGAATCCGCTAACTGTATCCCTAGCCTTTCGCAGTGCCCGGTCATTCAGAATGCAAGGTGTTGTATAGCACTAATCTTTTTTAAACATTATTTTGGGGGTTTCGAATAGAAAGTCGAAATTTGTAGGTCTTCACACTAAGAGTAAAACTTAGGCAAAATGAACAGATACTATAATGAACTATCCTTGGTAACTAGACAGAGGAACTTTGATATCTTTGTTATAGACACCAAAAAAGAGAATTGGATTTATAAATTCGTAAGATCAGATCCATTGAATTTTATCCACTAAAGACAACTAAATGTATGTACAATATATTGTGACATAAACTAAAATAAATATAAGGTTATAATATTCTACCAAAGCATTCCAAAATAAAATGAGATTAAACTTTGCAAACACCCTTAAAAGCAATGTAGGTTTTTGGTCAGGGTAGCAAGAACTTAAGATCTTGGTGATCACAAACTAGAAAGAAAACGATACCAAAGTAGAATAAGATAAAGATAAAGATAAAAATAAAATTTATGTCGAAAATAAATACAACATATAGACATACTAAACACAAAAAAATAATAATATTAAAATAATAATCGGAGATATTATGAACTACAGTAGGGTCCTTGAGGTATTTTAAATGCACTCAGCGGAGATATGACATGAGCAATATTATTTTGAATATTTACTCGGAATTATGATAATAATTTTTTTGAAACGGTTACAGATTAAGGAGAAAATGCGACAAGGTTTATTTCCGAACAGTAAACATAGAAATCATGTCAAACCAATACCTACAGATTGAACTTGTTTAGTGAATGCTTTAGCATGTGTAACAATGAATCCACATTGTGGATTATCCATCAGTTCCATTGGTGCAGAAACTGAATGCAAGTGATGGCGCAAGACACTTATGACTTTCTAACTAGAATATAAATATTGTTCTGAAGCTATTTTCTTGTGGCATTGTAAATTAATTACTATTTAAAACTGGGAATAAGCCACAATTAAAGATAAAAATACGTTTATTGACGTTTCAATTTCCACTTTGGAAATCGTTCTCAAAATACAAACAGTAAATTAAACAAATTTTGTTTTTTGTTACATAGTGAAAAATTCTTCTAATAATTTAATTTTATCTGACGTTTGTGGAGTTGTACGAAGAACAAATATGTCTTTGGGATATATCTAGTAGTCAGTATAGAAATAAATAAATAAGAGATTCTATTAATAAAATAGAACAAGAAATAAAAATAGATGATTTTTGTACTGAAGATGTGAAGAACAAATTAAACAATCTGATAACGAGATATTACTTATCTGAGCTAAAATTGTTAAAACACAACAAGCCTAGTGGTGGAACAGACGATCTTTTGCGCGTCATTTTTCTCTCTTCTTATCTGAACCACTCTTCAAGTTCAGTTATTTTACTTGAATTGTGTAAATGCTTTATTCGAATGCCTTTCAAACTTGAATACTTGATTAAAGTTACTATACAAGCAACTTAAACGGCTACTCGACTCATGTAAACTAGGAAATGATCATGCACAATCCATGACAAATTATATTCATATCAAAGCGAATTAAATTACCTTTAAACAGTATTTTCCTACTTTGATCCGAGTAATTAGTTTCGGAAAAAAATATAGCTAAAGTCAAATGTTTAAAATGGGTCAATTTCTATGCACTCACATTTATAATTACTATATTAAAACAGTTTTTTGTGAGTTTTGAGTATAATTCAAGACCATCTGCTACAGAGTCTTCGATATAAAGGAAAGATAATAATTAAAGTTTTTATAATTATATTTTAGCGTTGTTAATGAATTTAATCAACTCTACCTATATCCTTCTATCTTTTAAACTCAATAAAGCTGCGAGGTTGACTGGAAAATTTACCCATAGTTTGCACAATCCAAAAATGTTTCCGTTTCGTCCATCAATTTAAGAAGTTCTCCGTGAATACCATTAAGGCCAGGTGCTTTATTATTCTGCAAGGATTAAATGGAATTTTTATCTTATCTTTTAAAACAGGTGAACCTGATACTTCTTTGTTATTACTTGTGACGGTTTCTGGAAGCTCATCATGAACAAGTATTTTTATTAATTGATTCCCATATTTTTCGTAGATGCGAGATATCCGTTATGACAAACCCGTATCTACTAATTACAATGATGGCCTACTTTTTTTGAGGTAAGATTATATGTTATTAACGATATCATACTTTGAAGAGCGGAGACATGTACATATTTATGTTTAACGATAAATATCAAATGGGACCATTTTTTGAACATCATATGTAGAATATAGATAACAAGGTTATCCTTCTGGTGTATGTCAAAATCATTTCATAGTTACAACTTAAAGAACCTAAAAGTTATTTAAAAACTATTTTTCTTTCCAATATTTCTCTACTTAGAATTCTCAGGATTCCCTAGAGAGATCATAATATCCAATGAAGAATATTAAGAAGACTGCGTAAACATATAGAAGTCTTTCAATATGTTTAAAAACGATATAAGAGGCCACGTAATGCGAAATGGTGAAATTTTTTTTCTTGTTTTATTATGAAGTATTCTTTGGATTGTGCCCCACATCATCTGATATGTATGTATCTTGTTGGTAATGTTTTTATTTCCTCTTAACTTATTATAATCCTACAAAAATAATTCTGAATATTAGAAATATTATAATAACATTAATAATACATAAATAAAAGAAACACCTCTGTGACAAAGCATCTACATAAAATATGCGCAAATACATATGGTCGAAATTCTCGTAACAAACAGATGTGAGTGTGGAACTAGCATAGCTGATCTAAGTCTCATTATATTTTCTGACTGTCCCTTGCATATCAATACAAGTACATGGTTGATTCAAGAATTTCTGAAAGCCGGTTTAAAGACGCCATTAAACTTAAATGTACTATTAAGTGAAAATAAAACAAAATTTTTTAAACTGATTATGGTATTTCTGCAAAAAATTAAATTAAAGGTCTGAATGAAAAATTGATCACTTGAATTGATATTTCCTTTGTATGTGTACTTATTTGTTGTCCACCTATCTAACCGTAGTTTATGTCATGTGTTATAGTAAAATCGCTTTGATAAACCTATAAGAGTGAAAATTGTCCTCCCTGTATAATCCTGAATGAATGAAAACTAATATTTATATGTAATTACATGACAAGGATCTAAACCAAGACTAAAATACAAAGAAAAAGCTCTGTAACAGTTTTTGTCAGTTCTTCTATCACTCGCAGCCCCCTGTGAATGGGAAAAGCTCTCTGTATATTTGTAGTACTTATATCCGGAGAGCAGGAAGTAGAAATAAAAACCGATACCTGACATTA